ATCAAACACCTAATTCCAATGAGGTGAGGGACGATGTTGGCCCCTTGGATAAATTCCGAAAACGTTGCCAGTAATCTTATAAAATATGATCAACAATTAACAGTGGTGTCACATAAGCAGCTCTCTGAAGCATAATCAATAAACAGCGGTGTCACATATGCAGCGTTCTAAAACGTGACTTTTATTGGGAATGGGTAGGGAAGGAAGGGGGTGAAGGAGACATTAAGCTATTTTTAGAAAAGTTTCAAATATATAAAGGGATTATACGTTTTATTTGAATACAATTATATTTTAAGTTTAAATAATAAGCATTTTTTTCGAATAAAACGATTTCGATATAAAGGCTTGTTATTTACATCTCGGATTGACAGAATCAGAAATATTATATACAACAAAAATATATGTTGTATAAAATACAATTATTTCTAAAATAGAATGACTAAAATTAAAGCTCTAAAAAAATAAAAAATTGGAATGCCTCTTATAAATTTTATAAATCTGAAGGAATATTTTGCAACACTAAAATTAATTGTAGGTATGAATCTGATATAAAAAATTGTGTTTTAGAATACAAGCTCCTACAACTAAATGAAAATATTGTAGATAATATGTATAGAAAAATAAATATATCTTTCGACTATGTTAGAAACAATTAACTCTAAAAACGAAAACGTATAAGTTCAACATTTTATCCGCTGGTAGCTGCTTAATACATCATGTTTAATAATTGATTATAAATTATGACGCATGTGTAATTTAAGCGTTATCACGGGAAATATAATTAGAAAAGATTTGATATATTATCGTAAACAATAATGATTCATTAAAATACGTCAATTTTAAAAATTTCAATCTTTAATACGTATTATTATATCAAGGAATCTTAACTCCAAATTTGATCATTATAAACTATTTTTAAATTTGTTTCAAAAAAAAATTATATGATGAAGAATATTTTAGTTGACTTATGTTTAGGTAAAATGAAGGTTGATACTGCACCAAAGAAAGGTACAATTTAATCGTATTCCTTAGTTAAATTCCATTTTTTTTATTGCACATTTTTTAGATAATAAAAAGGTTAATGTGTGGTCTCGTGTTAGAAAATGTTTTGGTTGCAGAAGAAAAGAAGGTATCAGGCCTGATGGCCTAGTCATTAATGCTTTAATGAACGACGTGAGGGAATACCCTATTTTCAAAAAGTGTTTTGAAAATAGGGGTATCGGCAAGATGAATGTTTGTGAAGATGGGGTAGAGGGGGTTGTCAGAGGTATGTCAGTTAATCCCTGTAAGGACAACCTTTCTTACCCCATCTTCAAAATGTGTCCTCAAAAATTGAAGGTGGAGGATAATATTATTGATCCTGTTGAGGATGTTAAATATTCTTCCAAGGATGATACAAAAATAAAACCCATTTGCACAGATTACGATTTTGTAAAGCTAATAGGCCAGGGTGGAGCTGCTAAGGTTTTCCTTGCCCGTTCCAAAACAAATGGGAAGGAATACGCCGCAAAGGTGATTCGGAAGCAATTCCGTGACGATATAGAGGTTTGCATTAAATCATTTAATATTTATATGCTGTTTAATAATATTTCTAAATTGTGCTTATCAAGTTCTTCTTCAAAATTTTATTAATGTCTAATAACCATATAATATTTAAGCTTTATAGTTACTAACCTCCATTCTACATTTGATTCGTATTATTAAATATTGACTATATTTTTTATAAATAGGATGCCTACAGCAAAAGGCTAATTCATAGAGAAAAGTTAGTTTTCGATAAAACTAAAAAACTCCCATTTATGGTTGAGTTATTCGCCTACTACCACACCCCTATGAAGTATGTATTTTATACTTTAATATAAGTTTATATATTTATAAAAATATTTATTAAATTGAGAATATAAAAATATTTTAATAATTAAAGATAATTATTTATCTATTAATTTACAGTTACGCCTTCATCATGGAGTACGTTGACGGTGGAGACCTCCATCGTCACCTCCGACATCAACCTAACTCTACACTACCCGAGCACCATGCTCGTTTCTATGCGGCGGAGATAACCTTAGCACTCCACCACCTACACAGTAGAGGTAACATTTTTATAGTAAAATTATTTACCAATTTTGGAATTAAAAATATTTTTTTTGTTAATTTTATTAAAATTTAATATTTTTCTACCCAGGAATCATCCATAGAGACGTTAAACCGGAAAATATTCTATTGTGCTCCGATGGCCATATCAAACTATCTGATTATGGCCTATGCACGGTAATAAATTTTTTATCTCAATAAAATTAATAGCACAGAAACGTTAGGAATAAAATTTTAGAACATAAAATAGATAAACTGAGCGCTCATATGTGTCCAAATAGATATATAAATATAACATTAAAGAAGATTGTATAATTCAGTATCTTTTAACACTGGGCTTATGATGCATTTTCTTTGAAATTTTGAGGGAGTTACTAATAGGGATACTATCTTTTACAACATACATCCTTATGATTGAATCCTTTATTTCAGTCATCGAATCATGAAGTTAGGTATAACGAGATTGCTCTAGATGAAGGGTCTAACAGACAATCAAAATCATAATTTCTGGCAATATTTTTAAATAACAGGTTCTGTTCTGCCCGTTTCTCAAAATCTTTAAAATGTTTATAAGAAATAAATCCATAGGCTTTGAATATAATATTCAGCAATAACTTACAGTTTAATAATTTGTATTTTATTATATTTAAAAAAATATATAAAAATATTAATACTAATATTTTCCCATATCCTTATTTTTTAAAAACCTTTTATTTTTTAAAATTAATTTCATATCAATTGCCAAATTAAATCTTCAAAAAAAAGTAGATAGTAACGAAAATATTATTCGAGCTAAGGTATGTGCCAGCTCGTATTAAAATTTAATTTATTTTTTAAGTTTCCACTGGCTGTGCTCACGGCTCAGCCTTACACGGCTCAACCATGTCTTAAATTCGATTATCAGAAATGCACAAAATATATATAGAAATAATTAAATAATATTAGTAAACTTTAGAAAAATAAACTCCATCCATTTAATTTTTAACATATTTTTATTTGGGGGTTTATAGTTTAAATTATCTTAATAGGTTTTAGATTTTTAAAATAAAGATAAGAATATATGTTTGTAAATTGATTCCTCTTTGAAATATATTTATTTTATTTTAAAAAAATATAATGTGATATAGCCATATTTATAATTTTTATAAGCGTTTGAACTTGTTTAAAACGATATGAAAGTATTTACAGCCTTATTTTATTAAATTGCAATAACACCCACGTATTTTTGTTTAATCACGCCAACCTCCGAAATTCTATGCCACCCTTGTAGCATGAAACCACTAGTTGGTACCACAAAAATAACATGTTCCAGCTTAATTTTGACCTAGAACTAGCGGGTTGAAATGCACGCACTGATTCTACTAGGCCATAGAGGCTAGAAAGCACAATCATTTTGTTATTGTAAAATTAGGACTCTTTGAATATTTTAATTAACACATTCGAAATCGGTTGAAAACTATACATCATTGCCAGTTTTAATTTTATCTATTAAAATGTTTCATGTACACCTTCTTTATGGAAACGGTTAATAAAATTTAAATTTTGTATTTAGCTTTCTCGGTTTCCAATAATTAAACATTCCAATTTTAACTTGGCAAAAATTTCCCACTAAGATTTTCCAAAATATAAACATTTTCTTAGATAATCAGTAATTTTTTAATATTAAGAATAAATTTTCTGATATATTTTTCAACTTCTCTTATTTACTTTAATACATATACGGTTATATAAAAAATAATCTAGGATATTCTACCAAGTTTCATCGAAAGACGAAAATCTCTGCGAGTCGGGACTGTCTACTACAAGGCACCCGAAGTTTCATTCGATCCATATTATAGTAAACATTGCATTTTATCCTTTTATTTAACAAAAAAAATTTCTATTTCTAATAATAAAATATATCGTAGAGCTAGTATAACTTCTGGATTTAGTAAGAAAAAAATCATAATATTTACATAATTAAAATATATTTTAAAAATGTCGTTATCTAAAATTTTAAAACTATTTATTTACTTAAAATTGAAAGGCTATAGCATAGATTGGTGGGCCTTAGGGGTAGTTTTGTACGAAATGTTGGTTGGCAAACTCCCCTTTGGCCTAGAAGCCAAGCCCTCTCACAACGATGACCACTATCGTTTACAAGGTTCAATAATTACTTATACTTTAATGAAATTTGATAAAAAATATTTAAACTCAATAAATTATCATTGAATATCAAAATTTAATTTCCAATTATAAAGAAAATAAATAAATTTAATATATATTTTATTTTATTTAGCTAAATATGGAAGGGTGAAAATCCCTATATCCATTTCCTTCAAAGCCTCCTCCATCATCAGAGGATTCTTGACAGAGGTTTGATATAAATAATTAAATTTTATTTTAAAACATTATATCAGTAAAATTCAGATGAACGATAAAATTAAGTTTATTTTCTAAATATGCTTTAAGAAATTAAAAAATTTTCTGAATTTAAAACTGAAAAAAATCTAATGTTAAATTTTTAAACTTTTCTAGTGATGTATTTTTGATATGTTTATTCGTATATTAAAATAAAAGCTTATTATTTATTTTTATTAAAGTTTTCATAAACAAATTTTTAAAAAATTCAATTTATAACTGCCTTAACTCATAAATATATGCATCATATATAATTGATAGGATCCCAAAAAAAGATTAGGAGGAGATGAAAATGGGTTTTCCAATATAAAATCACACCAATTCTTCAAAACAATTGAGTGGAATCTGGTAAAATTACATTGCTTATCTTTTTGAGTTTCATTATTTATTTATATGTTTTTTTTAACCTTTTAAGCTGGAAGAAATGAAATTGACACCCCCCTATAAACCTGAAACATTGTTGCACCCGCAACTATAGGGGTTTGGAATGCTTCCACACGTCCAAAATGATAGTTCTCATACTTAGGAATTTCGAGGAATGGATTAATCCCAGTGATAGTATACCCATACAGTACAAATACAATCCTAGGATATTAAATGAACCCAATATTCCCTCAAATATTAGACAAAAAATACTCTCCTAAAATTCTTATCGACGATTCAAAATCACTATTAGAAATAGGATAACAATACTACATTAATTATAGAGCGAGCTTTAAAGAACTTTTATGAAAATTTTTTACATCTCATAGGACCCTTTTTACTGACGGAAATAGATTACTGAATGACGTAATCTTGGTTAATACTGCCATAAATAGCTTAAATGGCGGTTATTACAACCTACTATTACATCAGATGCCCTATTGAGAACTCAGAAATTCGCGGGCACCAGATTATATGACATCTTTGCAGACTGTTAAGAAAAACTTAAAGGCTAAAGCACGAAAGAAAGGGATTCCAATATATAGTATTTGACGGAAGATGACGATAAAGTTGGGCCCAATAAGAAAAAAAAGAAATAAATTGGGGGAAAAGTAAAAATAAGGAGCCTCTTAGATAGTACTGAAGCTTCAGATTATTTGGAAGATTGTCAAACATCGTGTGACGATGGTATACATCCTATTTATTGGTTAATATAGATTGTTTAATTTTGATTTTTTTGGCATTGTCTTAATTTAAAAAGTGATTTTTTGTTTATTATCGATATATTAGATAAAGATGATGAAAAACTTAAACCGAAGAAAAAAAAGAGGGATGAAGAGTTAATTTTTTAGCTGTATTTTATCTATAAGGATTTGTTTGAATATTTAGAGAGATTGTATTATATAAAATTTAACATTTTGTATTATCATATAATTCTAAATTATATCCTAGTGAGAATAAGACTGACTTTGACATAAAGCCACCAGCGATAAAATCTCTGGCTAAGTCAAAACCTTCAGAACTAGATATCCCTATAAAGAAGCAAGGCCTAGTTACTCATATAAGCCATTATAGAGAAATCGGAAACTAATGCTAATAATAGAAATCTTCCAAAATTAATGCATGACGATGATACTACTCCAAAAATGATATCGGCGAAGCTCTCATCCTACGTATCCTTTCCATCATCTAATAATACTCAATTCAAGATAGCCAATGAAACAGAAATACAAACTTATTAACCACCCTTCCTTCACCAGATAGCAATGCGACGTGATCAACAAATCGAAGGAATTAGAATATTTTAAAATTAAAAACTCACAATATTGATAACAATTTTGTGATAAAAACGTCTTATTTATTGAAATCCGATCAACTTTCCATTATTATATTTTCAGCCAAAATTGGAACGTTAGTTTTGATTACATTTGATTTAGTATAGTTTTTTTTAACTGGAACACGCAAAATGCTTTATAATCACATTTATAACATCGATTATGATTGATTAAAGAAGCTTATAAAGTTTTTATAAGCAGATAAGGCATGTGTCACAACGTGTCATTCATATTGATTATTGAAAAAATTACATAATATATAAAGAATGTTAATATTATGTCTAATAAATGTAATGTATCAATAAATGTCGAAAAATATTTTTCTTGATATACATATTACTTTATATTTTTATAATAATTATCATTATTGAGGAATATTTAACGGTTTATATTTCCTTTTAGTAGTATTATTTTTGAATAATATTTTTAAAAAAATTAGGCATTTTCATCGGGTAAAAAGATTTTAAAAAAATCCCCATTAATTATTTAATGATATCTTAAATATTGATTAAAATTTTCAGCGAAGTGAAGGTGGACATTCATAATAATTCATTGCTAATAACAATATTAAAAAATTATTTCAAAATAATTTAAACTTTACTGTTTAATCGTTTGTAATAAAAAATTATTTATAACTATAGAATACAATTAAAACAATTAATATATAACAAAAATCGGGGTTCAACGCAGATCTCTATAAATATTTTTAAGCCCGATGCATGAAACTCTTATGGTAACTTGTAAAGTTCTTAGTTTATGATTAAAATTACATTTACTGATTATTTTAAAAAGTTTATTATTTTTTAAAAATTATATATTTGCGAACAAATGACTTTCTCTATATTGTATTAGGTGTTTCTATTTTTAGTAATGTTCGCCAAATATTGTTTAAGAATTGGCGATATTTTTTTACTTAACCTTCTAAAAAATAATAATTTTTAAGTTCACTAAAACACAGGTACAATTTTAACAAAAATTAGTAACAAAATGTAAATCTTTTTAATTTTGAAATAATTCTAAAATTAACAATTTGAAAATAAAAATTACTACAGTGGCGTCGCTAGGGGGAGGGCGCCGGGGCTAGAGCCCCCTGAAGCAAAAAAAAATTTTTTTTAATGGAATCTTAACCCCTTGAACTAAAATAAATTATTTTGATTGCCCCCTGAAAGATTTCTTTTATAATTCTAAAGAAAATAGATTTAATTTTATTATTTACAAATTAATAAGATTATCTAAATATTTATTAAATGAATACTATTTTAAATATTAGATTAAATTAATACATATAAATTATAGCTAGCAATCAAATTTTGTGTTAAAAATAGAATATCAATATCACTCACTTAATATTAATTTATCATTAACAGTTGAAGCTTAATTGGCTATTATTATTTAAATTATTTTATAACCTTAATTAAATAAATATAATCATTTATTAATTGAAAACTAAAAATTTAATATTGTAATTAGCAGAGTTCAAAATAACTAATCAACTATATTTATTTTTAAAATTTATTATCATACCTATTCCTAAGAATATTTTCAAGGTCCAAATAAGTATATTAAAAAGTAAGAAAGTAGACATATAGTTAAGATCCTCTATTATATACAGTTGTTTATAAAATATTAGATAAAATGCCACTTTTATCGACGTATTTGACAGTTATAATATACTACAGCTAATATTATAATGAATTTTACTAATAAATGCTTTTGATAATAAATATAGTAAAAATTGCCTTCAAGTTTTTAACGCCATCTATTTAGTTATAAATATTTTAAAAATTAAACGTTTTATTATTCATCTTAAAATGGATGTAATAAATTTGATATCTTTTCTTTTCATTTTTACGTTATGAAATCTATTTTTTTCTTTATCAAAAAACAGTTTATAGTTAAATATTTAATAGAAGTTTTTGATATTTTTACAAATTACTATTATTTTAAGATATAATATACCAACTAGAGGTGGTGCGACAAAATCTTAATTGTTTTATCATATCATTCTGGTCCTTATTTTATAGTGTCAAAATGTTTCATTTCTAATATGGCATCCTTGCCGTGTTTAAATAACTCAAGGCCTCAATATATTTGCACAATTATTTCTTCAAAAGAATTTAGTGTTTTTATTTTATCAATTTATCCAACATAATAAATTCTGATACTAGCTTACATCGTGAGTGTCATGGCCATTACTGCAAATTAACCAGCATCTATTATTTGTGTGGGTATGTAATTTAATATTATTACTACAGCTGCTGAGAACATATGATTGCATATTTTAGATATGCAGTAATGGTCAACTGTGCAGTCGTTTATATATCATTAAAAATGGAAGATAATCTTTTAGAAATTTATAATCTCACAATAATTTTCTTGATTACTTATCTAGCTGCCATCATACGCTCTAACCACTATATAGTTTTATGATTTGGATTGGTCGTTTATATTCTCTTCTTCAAGAATTGTTAATTTAGTAAGGCCTATAAATTTTTTCTTATTAGTCCATTCTATAAAACATTGATGGTAACAGAAAGTTATATTAGTTTCATGACCTTTTGTCAATGTAAGTTGCTAAGAATTATATCTTATGTGGTTTTTAAAAACCATTATCAATTGAGGCATATGTATGAATTAATTAACCTTTTTTATCACTTGTAATTCTTTAGACGCATATATCAGCAATCGAAAATATTGTATACTATAATAAATAGATTTTGTATTAAAAAATATTATCTTTATAAATGTCTTGTATTGTTTTAATTGTTTATATGCCAATTTATTTTGTATGCATAATATAATAAATGACAAAATATGAAATTCATAATAATTGTTCAGATTTAACAAATTTTAAAAAGAATAATATATAAATATAAAACCGGCCCGAAATTGGGGGGTATGGAGGGAGGGGCGATGCTCCCCATAAAAATTTTTTTTAGAAGAGCCCCATGAGATTGTAAAGGCTAGCGACGCCCCTGAATTACTTCTCTGTTTAATCGTATGTAATAAAAAATTAAATATTTATATCTATATCATATAATTCAAACAAATAACAAAAATCGGCATTAAAGTTCAAGCAGATCTTTTAAGGATTTTCAGCCTGGTCAGGAATATATTTTACTATGAACTAATTTTGGCTCAAATTTTTATTTAGCCAAACCCAGTCACTATCTATTGTCCACCGGGAAAAATAGTTAGCATTTTGACATTTTTTTAAACCAGTTCAGGCCTATTTAGGCCGTGCCCATCTTTAAATTTATATTCGTAATTAAAGCGATTAATTTTCATTTACCACATTCTGTTAGATTTAGACTCTGTAAACTTAATCACGTCTTTTCCTTTTATTTAAAGGTAATTTTCCAATTCAACTAGCTTCCTATCCTCCTTTATTTCAATATGGGAAATCCCTAATTTATATTTATGTTAGAATAATTTTATTTTTCATTTTATTCTAGTGATTTAAGAATTTTTTTTAATGTGCATTGCTATAAGGAATTATAAACCATTCCAAAAAATAATTATTATAAATGTCAGCCAAAGATCTTTTCGCATTTAGGAAAATTCTCTCTTCTCATTCCAAGCTGACGATATGGTCATTAAAATATCATGAAGAGTCTTCCATTACAAAGCTTTTAACACACTATTATGGCTTTCCCATATTGAAAATTTATATAAACAAATGAAACTTGAAAAACTAATTATTTAATTTATAAGAATGAAACTGAAAAGATTTTATTAATATTTTTACCCTTTATTTTTAGATAATGTATTAAACAGTGGTTCGGACATAAAAATATACAATTCAATTATGAATATAACTTTATATCCAAGATTAATCAGATTAATACATTGAATATTTTTCTCAGTATAAAACAATATTCTTATTATATAAAATTTGATCCAGTTGATAAGCAGGTGGGAGGGGAAATTAGTTGTAAGATCCAGAAGAATGCAAGCATGTTCTGGACGATCGCGATGAGTATACTCGATGTTGAGTGAAAATAACTTGGGAGAAAGATGTTGCACACTAGTTTATAAATTTATTTTAGATTGATTAAAATTATATATATATAGGAAAATTATGTTATTTTTATTTATTAATGTATACGAAATAAAAATATAAATTTTGAAATTAGATTAATGTAGTGATTTTACAATTGAAATTTGTGACCGACTTTCAAAATATTGTTCAACAAAGAAAATTTGAGAATAATAAGGATTGGTTATAGTTTTAAAATTTATAACTTTTTAGCACCCTGAATTCAAATACCAGATTCTGATATGTGATAAAGATGCTCCTGATAAATTCAAAAGGGTTAGTCATACAGCCAAGGCTATATGTTTGGCGGGTGAATTTAGTGATCAGATTAGTGGATGGTCTAGTGCTTGGAATTCATATCCAAAAAAATAGAATTTATCTTAAGATAAATATTTTATTTAAGACCGACTCAGAATTAGGCATTGTCTAGCCAATTTATTATTCGGTTCGGATCGTATTTAATTTATCAAAATTAATTTTTATTAATAAAATAAACTTTAGGTATAGGTTATATAGTTATTTATTTTAATTCATTTAGCTTTTACGAAAATAGAAAGAAGAAAAAAAATGTAATAACTTTAATGATACGAAAATTATAAATATAAGATAACGGAGATTATAGAGATGTAATTCATCATTTACAATTGTGGGTACGATTGTTTAATTTGTCCTTTGGTATCGATATCCGTCAGCGGGTTTGAAATTAACTTGGGAACATGCTGTCATCTTCTATTCACTAATATACTAGCTCAAGCCAACATTAGACCTATCTAGCCTATAGTTTCTATGGTCAAATATTTAAATATTTTTAAAGAATATGAATCTATCCATAGTCGAATCATGTAGCAAGATGAATACTAAAAATCTGACATCTTGAATCAATTTTACCAATAACAAAGTAACTAATTAGAAGCCAGAAAAAAAAACTATCATATCCAGCCACGTAAATACAGACATGTTTCTTTGAAACATCAACTCTGAAAACTCACATTAATGATTAGTAAGTATGGCATTTTAGTGCTTTAGCCTGTCGGTATATAATTTATAGAAAAAACAATTATTGCTAAGAATAAAAATAACCCCTAAAAAATCAGAAACACATAAATCCAATGAGGTGAGTGGTTTATTGTTGGCACCTTGAATAAATTCTGGATACGTTGCCAGTATTTCTTATAAAAATAAGATCATCAATAAACAGCGGTGTCACATATGCAGCGTTCTAAAACGTGACTTTTATTGGGAATGGGTAGGGAAGGAAGGGGGTAGACATTAAGCTATTTTTAGAAAAGTTTCAAATATATAAAGGGATTATACGTTTTATTTGAATACAAGTATATTTAAAGTTTAAATAATAAGCATTTTTTTCGAATAAAACGATTTCGATATAAAGGCTTGTAATATTCATATTTACATCTCGGATTGACAGAATCAGAAATATTATATACAACAAAAATATATGTTGTATAAAATACAATTATTTCTAAAATAGAATGACTAAAATTAAAGCTCTAAAAAAATAAAATTGTGGAATGCCTCTTATAAATTTTATAAATCTGAAGGAATATTTTGCAACACTAAAATTAATTGTAGGTATGAATCTGATATAAAAAATTGTGTTTTAGAATACAAGCTCCTACAACTAAATGAAAATATTGTAGATAATATGTATAGAAAAATAAATATATCTTTCGACTATGTTAGAAACAATTAACTCTAAAAACGAAAACGTATAAGTTCAACATTTTATCCGCTGGTAGCTGCTTAATACATCATGTTTAATAATTGATTATAAATTATGACGCATGTGTAATTTAAGCGTTATCACGGAAAATATAATTAAAAGATTTGATATATTATCGTAAACAATAATGATTCATTAAAATACGTCAATTTTAAAAATTTCAATCTTTAATACGTATTATTATATCAAGGAATCTTAACTCCAAATTTGATCATTATAAACTATTTTTAAATTTGTTTCAAAAAAAAATTATATGATGAAGAATATTTTAGTTGACTTATGTTTAGGTAAAATGAAGGTTGATACTGCACCAAAGAAAGGTACAATTTAATCGTATTCCTTAGTTAAATTCCATTTTTTTTATTGCACATTTTTTAGATAATAAAAAGGTTAATGTGTGGTCTCGTGTTAGAAAATGTTTTGGTTGCAGAAGAAAAGAAGGTATCAGGCCTGATGGCCTAGTCATTAATGCTTTAATGAACGACGTGAGGGAATACCCTATTTTCAAAAAGTGTTTTGAAAATAGGGGTATCGGCAAGATGAATGTTTGTGAAGATGGGGTAGAGGGGGTTGTCAGAGGTATGTCAGTTAATCCCTGTAAGGACAACCTTTCTTACCCCATCTTCAAAATGTGTCCTCAAAAATTGAAGGTGGAGGATAATATTATTGATCCTGTTGAGGATGTTAAATATTCTTCCAAGGATGATACAAAAATAAAACCCATTTGCACAGATTACGATTTTGTAAAGCTAATAGGCCAGGGTGGAGCTGCTAAGGTTTTCCTTGCCCGTTCCAAAACAAATGGGAAGGAATACGCCGCAAAGGTGATTCGGAAGCAATTCCGTGACGATATAGAGGTTTGCATTAAATCATTTAATATTTATATGCTGTTTAATAATATTTCTAAATTGTGCTTATCAAGTTCTTCTTCAAAATTTTATTAATGTCTAATAACCATATAATATTTAAGCTTTATAGTTACTAACCTCCATTCTACATTTGATTCGTATTATTAAATATTGACTATATTTTTTATAAATAGGATGCCTACAGCAAAAGGCTAATTCATAGAGAAAAGTTAGTTTTCGATAAAACTAAAAAACTCCCATTTATGGTTGAGTTATTCGCCTACTACCACACCCCTATGAAGTATGTATTTTATACTTTAATATAAGTTTATATATTTATAAAAATATTTATTAAATTGAGAATATAAAAATATTTTAATAATTAAAGATAATTATTTATCTATTAATTTACAGTTACGCCTTCATCATGGAGTACGTTGACGGTGGAGACCTCCATCGTCACCTCCGACATCAACCTAACTCTACACTACCCGAGCACCATGCTCGTTTCTATGCGGCGGAGATAACCTTAGCACTCCACCACCTACACAGTAGAGGTAACATTTTTATAGTAAAATTATTTACCAATTTTGGAATTAAAAATAATATTTTTTTTGTTAATTTTATTAAAATTTAATATTTTTCTACCCAGGAATCATCCATAGAGACGTTAAACCGGAAAATATTCTATTGTGCTCCGATGGCCATATCAAACTATCTGATTATGGCCTATGCACGGTAATAAATTTTTTATCTCAATAAAATTAATAGCACAGAAACGTTAGGAATAAAATTTTAGAACATAAAATAGATAAACTGAGCGCTCATATGTGTCTAAATAGATATATAAATATAACATTAAAGAAGATTGTATAATTCAGTATCTTTTAACACTGGGCTTATGATGCATTTTCTTTGAAATTTTGAGGGAGTTACTAATAGGGATACTATCTTTTACAACATACATCCTTATGATTGAATCCTTTATTTCAGTCATCGAATCATGAAGTTAGGTATAACGAGATTGCTCTAGATGAAGGGTCTATCAGACAATCAAAATCATAATTTCTGGCAATATTTTTAAATAACAGGTTCTGTTCTGCCCGTTTCTCAAAATCTTTAAAATGTTTATAAGAAATAAGTCCATAGGCTTTGAATATAATATTCAGCAATAACTTACAGTTTAATAATTTGTATTTTATTATATTTAAAAAAATATATAAAAATATTAATACTAATATTTTCCCATATCCTTATTTTTTAAAAACCTTTTATTTTTTAAAATTAATTTCATATCAATTGCCAAATTAAATCTTCAAAAAAAAGTAGATAGTAACGAAAATATTATTCGAGCTAAGGTATGTGCCAGCTCGTATTAAAATTTAATTTATTTTTTAAGTTTCCACTGGCTGTGCTCACGGCTCAGCCTTACACGGCTCAACCATGTCTTAAATTCGATTATCAGAAATGCACAAAATATATATAGAAATAATTAAATAATATTAGTAAACTTTAGAAAAATAAACTCCATCCATTTAATTTTTAACATATTTTTATTTGGGGGTTTATAGTTTAAATTATCTTAATAGGTTTTAGATTTTTAAAATAAAGATAAGAATATATGTTTGTAAATTGATTCCTCTTTGAAATATATTTATTTTATTTTAAAAAAATATAATGTGATATAGCCATATTTATAATTTTTATAAGCGTTTGAACTTGTTTAAAACGATATGAAAGTATTTACAGCCTTATTTTATTAAATTGCAATAACACCCACGTATTTTTGTTTAATCACGCCAACCTCCGAAATTCTATGCCACCCTTGTAGCATGAAACCACTAGTTGGTACCACAAAAATAACATGTTCCAGCTTAATTTTGACCTAGAACTAGCGGGTTGAAATGCACGCACTGATTCTACTAGGCCATAGAGGCTAGAAAGCACAATCATTTTGTTATTGTAAAATTAGGACTCTTTGAATATTTTAATTAACACATTCGAAATCGGTTGAAAACTATACATCATTGCCAGTTTTAATTTTATCTATTAAAATGTTTCATGTACACCTTCTTTATGGAAACGGTTAATAAAATTTAAATTTTGTATTTAGCTTTCTCGGTTTCCAATAATTAAACATTCCAATTTTAACTTGGCAAAAATTTCCCACTAAGATTTTCCAAAATATAAACATTTTCTTAGATAATCAGTAATTTTTTAATATTAAGAATAAATTTTCTGATATATTTTTCAACTTCTCTTATTTACTTTAATACATATACGGTTATATAAAAAATAATCTAGGATATTCTACCAAGTTTCATCGAAAGACGAAAATCTCTGCGAGTCGGGACTGTCTACTACAAGGCACCCGAAGTTTCATTCGATCCATATTATAGTAAACATTGCATTTTATCCTTTTATTTAACAAAAAAAATTTCTATTTCTAATAATAAAATATATCGTAGAGCTAGTATAACTTCTGGATTTAGTAAGAAAAAAATCATAATATTTACATAATTAAAATATATTTTAAAAATGTCGTTATCTAAAATTTTAAAACTATTTATTTACTTAAAATTGAAAGGCTATAGCATAGATTGGTGGGCCTTAGGGGTAGTTTTGTACGAAATGTTGGTTGGCAAACTCCCCTTTGGCCTAGAAGCCAAGCCCTCTCACAACGATGACCACTATCGTTTACAAGGTTCAATAATTACTTATACTTTAATGAAATTTGATAAAAAATATTTAAACTCAATAAATTATCATTGAATATCAAAATTTAATTTCCAATTATAAAGAAAATAAATAAATTTAATATATATTTTATTTTATTTAGCTAAATATGGAAGGGTGAAAATCCCTATATCCATTTCCTTCAAAGCCTCCTCCATCATCAGAGGATTCTTGACAGAGGTTTGATATAAATAATTAAATTTTATTTTAAAACATTATATCAGTAAAATTCAGATGAACGATAAAATTAAGTTTATTTTCTAAATATGCTTTAAGAAATTAAAAAATTTTCTGAATTTAAAACTGAAAAAAATCTAATGTTAAATTTTTAAACTTTTCTAGTGATGTATTTTTGATATGTTTATTCGTATATTAAAATAAAAGCTTATTATTTATTTTTATTAAAGTTTTCATAAACAAATTTTTAAAAAATTCAATTTATAACTGCCTTAACTCATAAATATATGCATCATATATAATTGATAGGATCCCAAAAAAAGATTAGGAGGAGATGAAAATGGGTTTTCCAATATAAAATCACACCAATTCTTCAAAACAATTGAGTGGAATCTGGTAAAATTACATTGCTTATCTTTTTGAGTTTCATTATTTATTTATATGTTTTTTTTAACCTTTTAAGCTGGAAGAAATGAAATTGACACCCCCCTATAAACCTGAAACATTGTTGCACCCGCAACTATAGGGGTTTGGAATGCTTCCACACGTCCAAAATGATAGTTCTCATACTTAGGAATTTCGAGGAATGGATTAATCCCAGTGATAGTATACCCATACAGTACAAATACAATCCTAGGATATTAAATGAACCCAATATTCCCTCAAATATTAGACAAAAAATACTCTCCTAAAATTCTTATCGACGATTCAAAATCACTATTAGAAATAGGATAACAATACTACATTAATTATAGAGCGAGCTTTAAAGAACTTTTATGAAAATTTTTTACATCTCATAGGACCCTTTTTACTGACGGAAATAGATTACTGAATGACGTAATCTTGGTTAATACTGCCATAAATAGCTTAAATGGCGGTTATTACAACCTACTATTACATCAGATGCCCTATTGAGAACTCAGAAATTCGCGGGCACCAGATTATATGACATCTTTGCAGACTGTTAAGAAAAACTTAAAGGCTAAAGCACGAAAGAAAGGGATTCCAATATATAGTATTTGACGGAAGATGACGATAAAGTTGGGCCCAATAAGAAAAAAAAGAAATAAATTGGGGGAAAAGTAAAAATAAGGAGCCTCTTAGATAGTACTGAAGCTTCAGATTATTTGGAAGATTGTCAAACATCGTGTGACGATGGTATACATCCTATTTATTGGTTAATATAGATTGTTTAATTTTGATTTTTTTGGCATTGTCTTAATTTAAAAAGTGATTTTTTGTTTATTATCGATATATTAGATAAAGATGATGAAAAACTTAAACCGAAGAAAAAAAAGAGGGATGAAGAGTTAATTTTTTAGCTGTATTTTATCTATAAGGATTTGTTTGAATATTTAGAGAGATTGTATTATATAAAATTTAACATTTTGTATTATCATATAATTCTAAATTATATCCTAGTGAGAATAAGACTGACTTTGACATAAAGCCACCAGCGATAAAATCTCTGGCTAAGTCAAAACCTTCAGAACTAGATATCCCTATAAAGAAGCAAGGCCTAGTTACTCATATAAGCCATTATAGAGAAATCGGAAACTAATGCTAATAATAGAAATCTTCCAAAATTAATGCATGACGATGATACTACTCCAAAAATGATATCGGCGAAGCTCTCATCCTACGTATCCTTTCCATCATCTAATAATACTCAATTCAAGATAGCCAATGAAACAGAAATACAAACTTATTAACCACCCTTCCTTCACCAGATAGCAATGCGACGTGATCAACAAATCGAAGGAATTAGAATATTTTAAAATTAAAAACTCACAATATTGATAACAATTTTGTGATAAAAACGTCTTATTTATTGAAATCCGATCAACTTTCCATTATTATATTTTCAGCCAAAATTGGAACGTTAGTTTTGATTACATTTGATTTAGTATAGTTTTTTTTAACTGGAACACGCAAAATGCTTTATAATCACATTTATAACATCGATTATGATTGATTAAAGAAGCTTATAAAGTTTTTATAAGCAGATAAGGCATGTGTCACAACGTGTCATTCATATTGATTATTGAAAAAATTACATAATATATAAAGAATGTTAATATTATGTCTAATAAATGTAATGTATCAATAAATGTCGAAAAATATTTTTCTTGATATACATATTACTTTATATTTTTATAATAATTATCATTATTGAGGAATATTTAACGGTTTATATTTCCTTTTAGTAGTATTATTTTTGAATAATATTTTTAAAAAAATTAGGCATTTTCATCGGGTAAAAAGATTTTAAAAAAATCCCCATTAATTATTTAATGATATCTTAAATATTGATTAAAATTTTCAGCGAAGTGAAGGTGGACATTCATAATAATTCATTGCTAATAACAATATTAAAAAATTATTTCAAAATAATTTAAACTTTACTGTTTAATCGTTTGTAATAAAAAATTATTTATAACTATAGAATACAATTAAAACAATTAATATATAACAAAAATCGGGGTTCAACGCAGATCTCTATAAATATTTTTAAGCCCGATGCATGAAACTCTTATGGTAACTTGTAAAGTTCTTAGTTTATGATTAAAATTACATTTACTGATTATTTTAAAAAGTTTATTATTTTTTAAAAATTATATATTTGCGAACAAATGACTTTCTCTATATTGTATTAGGTGTTTCTATTTTTAGTAATGTTCGCCAAATATTGTTTAAGAATTGGCGATATTTTTTTACTTAACCTTCTAAAAAATAATAATTTTTAAGTTCACTAAAACACAGGTACAATTTTAACAAAAATTAGTAACAAAATGTAAATCTTTTTAATTTTGAAATAATTCTAAAATTAACAATTTGAAAATAAAAATTACTACAGTGGCGTCGCTAGGGGGAGGGCGCCGGGGCTAGAGCCCCCTGAAGCAAAAAAAATTTTTTTTTAATGGAATCTTAACCCCTTGAACTAAAATAAATTATTTTGATTGCCCCCTGAAAGATTTCTTTTATAATTCTAAAGAAAATAGATTTAATTTTATTATTTACAAATTAATAAGATTATCTAAATATTTATTAAATGAATACTATTTTAAATATTAGATTAAATTAATACATATAAATTATAGCTAGCAATCAAATTTTGTGTTAAAAATAGAATATCAATATCACTCACTTAATATTAATTTATCATTAACAGTTGAAGCTTAATTGGCTATTATTATTTAAATTATTTTATAACCTTAATTAAATAAATATAATCATTTATTAATTGAAAACTAAAAATTTAATATTGTAATTAGCAGAGTTCAAAATAACTAATCAACTATATTTATTTTTAAAATTTATTATCATACCTATTCCTAAGAATATTTTCAAGGTCCAAATAAGTATATTAAAAAGTAAGAAAGTAGACATATAGTTAAGATCCTCTATTATATACAGTTGTTTATAAAATATTAGATAAAATGCCACTTTTATCGACGTATTTGACAGTTATAATATACTACAGCTAATATTATAATGAATTTTACTAATAAATGCTTTTGATAATAAATATAGTAAAAATTGCCTTCAAGTTTTTAACGCCATCTATTTAGTTATAAATATTTTAAAAATTAAACGTTTTATTATTCATCTTAAAATGGATGTAATAAATTTGATATCTTTTCTTTTCATTTTTACGTTATGAAATCTATTTTTTTCTTTATCAAAAAACAGTTTATAGTTAAATATTTAATAGAAGTTTTTGATATTTTTACAAATTACTATTATTTTAAGATATAATATACCAACTAGAGGTGGTGCGACAAAATCTTAATTGTTTTATCATATCATTCTGGTCCTTATTTTATAGTGTCAAAATGTTTCATTTCTAATATGGCATCCTTGCCGTGTTTAAATAACTCAAGGCCTCAATATATTTGCACAATTATTTCTTCAAAAGAATTTAGTGTTTTTATTTTATCAATTTATCCAACATAATAAATTCTGATACTAGCTTACATCGTGAGTGTCATGGCCATTACTGCAAATTAACCAGCATCTATTATTTGTGTGGGTATGTAATTTAATATTATTACTACAGCTGCTGAGAACATATGATTGCATATTTTAGATATGCAGTAATGGTCAACTGTGCAGTCGTTTATATATCATTAAAAATGGAAGATAATCTTTTAGAAATTTATAATCTCACAATAATTTTCTTGATTACTTATCTAGCTGCCATCATACGCTCTAACCACTATATAGTTTTATGATTTGGATTGGTCGTTTATATTCTCTTCTTCAAGAATTGTTAATTTAGTAAGGCCTATAAATTTTTTCTTATTAGTCCATTCTATAAAACATTGATGGTAACAGAAAGTTATATTAGTTTCATGACCTTTTGTCAATGTAAGTTGCTAAGAATTATATCTTATGTGGTTTTTAAAAACCATTATCAATTGAGGCATATGTATGAATTAATTAACCTTTTTTATCACTTGTAATTCTTTAGACGCATATATCAGCAATCGAAAATATTGTATACTATAATAAATAGATTTTGTATTAAAAAATATTATCTTTATAAATGTCTTGTATTGTTTTAATTGTTTATATGCCAATTTATTTTGTATGCATAATATAATAAATGACAAAATATGAAATTCATAATAATTGTTCAGATTTAACAAATTTTAAAAAGAATAATATATAAATATAAAACCGGCCCGAAATTGGGGGGTATGGAGGGAGGGGCGATGCTCCCCATAAAAATTTTTTTTAGAAGAGCCCCATGAGATTGTAAAGGCTAGCGACGCCCCTGAATTACTTCTCTGTTTAATCGTATGTAATAAAAAATTAAATATTTATATCTATATCATATAATTCAAACAAATAACAAAAATCGGCATTAAAGTTCAAGCAGATCTTTTAAGGATTTTCAGCCTGGTCAGGAATATATTTTACTATGAACTAATTTTGGCTCAAATTTTTATTTAGCCAAACCCAGTCACTATCTATTGTCCACCGGGAAAAATAGTTAGCATTTTGACATTTTTTTAAACCAGTTCAGGCCTATTTAGGCCGTGCCCATCTTTAAATTTATATTCGTAATTAAAGCGATTAATTTTCATTTACCACATTCTGTTAGATTTAGACTCTGTAAACTTAATCACGTCTTTTCCTTTTATTTAAAGGTAATTTTCCAATTCAACTAGCTTCCTATCCTCCTTTATTTCAATATGGGAAATCCCTAATTTATATTTATGTTAGAATAATTTTATTTTTCATTTTATTCTAGTAATTTAAGAATTTTTTTTAATGTGCATTGCTATAAGGAATTATAAACCATTCCAAAAAATAATTATTATAAATGTCAGCCAAAGATCTTTTCGCATTTAGGAAAATTCTCTCTTCTCATTCCAAGCTGACGAAATGGTCATTAAAATATCATGAAGAGTCTTCCATTACAAAGCTTTTAACACACTGTTATGGCTTTCCCATATTGAAAATTTTTCTAAAATGAAACTTGAAAAACTAATTATTTAATTTATAAGAATGAAACTGAAAAGATTTTATTAATATTTTTACCCTTTATTTTTAGATAATGTATTAAACAGTGGTACGGACATAAAAATATACAATTCAATTATGAATATAACTTAATATCCAAGATTAATCAGATTAATACATTGAATATTTTTCTCATATAAAACAATATTCTTATTATATA